CTTTTTTTTATGGGTGGGAATGAAGAAACAGTGCCTAGAAAAAGATGATGGTTGAAAAAGCTTGATGATGTGTACATGTTAATTCCTTATATTATTTTTCCTAGTTTGAGTATATTTAACTCTTTTTTTTTAAACATCTCTATTGGAGTATAATTGCTTTACAATGGTGTGTTAGTTTCTGCTGTGTAACAAAGTGAAACAGTTACACATATACATATGTTCCCATATCTCCTCCCTCTCGCGTCTCCCTCCCATCCTCCCTATCCCACCCCTCTAGGTGGTCACAAAGCACCGAGCTGATCTCCCTGTGCTATGCAGCTGCTTCCCACTAGCTATCTAGTTTACATTTTTGCATAGTTACATTTATTTAAAAACGGTAGCTACTCGAACTGAGCTAATTATTTTACTTATACTCAATAAATGGTAGCTACTGTTAAAATTGAGAGAATGGGGGGCTAAAAAAGCTGGAGAAGAAGGTTCAAACCATCATCAAATAACAAAGCAAAGGCAAATGATCAGAGTGAGGTAAAAGAACAAGGTTGACTCGATCAAAACCTGTGAATAGGTGAATTATCAGTGCAAACAGCAGAAAAGAGAGGACAAGTGTTTGTGGCTAGACTATAACTTAAACTCTAGAATTCAATATGTCAAAAATTGAACCCATATTCAATTCCCACAAACATTTTACCCTCTATTGTTTCTTATTTTAGTTATTGACACAAACCAGAAACCTAGAAGTCAACCCCAAATCTCTTTCTCTTCAACTCTCACTCCTCTTGAATTCATCCCTTATCTATCTCTTAAATTCCTTCACTTATATTCATCACAGGGATCATCACTCTGCTTCAAGCCACATAATTGATTGCCTGGGTTACTCCAATAATCTCCTAGGAATTATTTCTGCCTTTACGCTTGCTCCCACCCCATATCTATTCTTATCTCAGCAGCTTGAGTGAAATGTTTTAAATGTGCATATGATTACATAAAGACGCTTCAAACGTTTCAAGGACTATGATGTCATCCATATATACACTTCTATACTTATATCACATGTCTGTAGCCTTGGAGGTTATAGCCACTTTAACTCCTTAGGATCCTTGAACATGCCATGCTGCTTCCAAGTTGGAACCTCTGCATATTGTGTTCCTGAGCCCAGAATGCTCACATTCCTACTATTCTCTTCACCAAACAGACTTCTACTAATCTTTCAGCTGTCACTTGAAATATAACTTCTGCCAGAAAGCATTCCTCAACTATGCCTCATGAGACAAAATAGGTCCCTTTGCTATCTTTCCTAATAGGTTTAAAAAAATTTTTATATCAAGTTAAGAAGTATATTTTCCACTTGCTAAAACTGGAAAAATTCAAATCAATATTTACAACATATTTACACTCATTCACAGATATATGCAGAGCCACAAAGAATTTGGAGTCACTCAATGTGCATGAGGTCTGCAAAGTTATGCACTGCCTTCTCATTTCAGCTCTCACACTATGAACAAATGTTCTTCCCATGATCTATTTAGTGTCATGTCTGTGCTTTTTGTTGGTAATTTTATGGCCCAAAATTGACTCCAGGAATGGTGCTTATGTGCTGTCTAGTGTTTCTAAGCACAAGGAATGTGCCTTAAAGAAAATACATGTTAGGTAAGCATTGTTCAGGCATAAGCCATAGTGCTGTTAGCCAGGAATTCAATATTAATGAATCAACAATATATAGTAAATTTAATCAGGTAAAAAGTTATTTAAAATATGCATAGTTATAAATATTATTAAAATTACTAAAATTCAGACGTTATTTCAATAGGCTATATGTTGCATGCGGGTAGAAACCTCTCTGTTGTGCTTACCATAGCATCCCTACCTCTCGTTGTATGCTTGATAACTGATGCTCCACAAATAATTGCAGAATATTTACAGAGGCCCTAATTCTGGTTAACAGAGTCTCACATTAGCTCAGGTGTCAACTCGTACAATAATCTCCCAGGATAGGACAGACACCTTCATATTCTGAAAACTAGAGGCACCTAGTGAATGTACATCTAGAGTTCAGGGAGGAAGCAATCTAAATGCGGTTTGACATTTTGAAAGTTTGTGCTTTTTTTTTTTAACTGAAATAGAGTTTATTTATAACACTGTTAATTTCAGGTGTACAGCAAAGTGATTCAGATATAGATAGATAGATAATTCTTCAGATTCTTTTCCCTTATAGGTTATTATAAAATATAATATAAAATTTTCAGATCCTTTTCCCTTATAGGTTATTACAAATTATTGAATATAGTTCTCTGTGCTATACAGCAGGTCCTTGTTATTTATCTATTTTAGATATAGTAGTATGTATATGTTAATCCCAAGCTCCTAATTTATCCCTCCACCCCCTTTCCCCTTTGATAACCATTAGTTTGTTTTCTATGTCTGTGGGTTTATTTCTGTTTTGTATATAAGTTCCTTTGTATCATTGTTTTAATTTTTAGATTCCACATATAATTGATATCATATAATATTTGTCTTTGTCCAACTTACTTCACTTAGTATGATAATCTCTAGGTCCATCCATGTTGATGCAAAAGGCATTATGTCATTCTTTTTATGGCTGAGTAATACTCCAGTGTGTGTGTGTGTGTGTGTGTGTGTGTGTGTATACCACATCTTCTTTATCCATTCATCTGTTGATGGCCATTTAAGTTGCTTCCATGTCTTTGCTATTGTAAATAGTGCAGCAATGAACACTGGGGTGCATGTATGTTTTGAATTACGGTTTTCTCCAAATATATGCCCAGGAGTGGAATTGCTGGATCATATGGTAGCTCTATTTTCAGTTTTTTAAGCAACCTATATGCTGTTCTCCATAGTGGCTGTACCAACAGACATTTCTCTAAAGAAGTTTTTATTAACAATAAGACAGTTTTACAAATGGGCCAGAGGAGATAGTGTCCTATATTTGAGAGTAATAAGGAGGTCTGTCGATGTCAGGATATCAACTTTGTGAAGGAAACTAAGAGGACAAAGTACATTTTAGCCATTCCTCTAAGCATGCTCTGAAGATTATGAAAAAGAATTGGGAGAGTAGACACAGAAGCCTAGTGGTGTGATGGAAGCTTTCTAAGTTATTCACTGGGAAGCCTGACGGGAGGCAAATATAAAGCAAACTTCTTAATTAAACTGAACATGAGAACTTAAATTCTGTCTGCAAGTAGATGCAACAGAATTATAAAAGGCCACATGTGGTTATAAGTAACACAGAACTAAGACTCCCCAGGGACAAGAAGCCTTGTGTTAATCTCTCTGTGGCTCTGAAAGAAGGAAGAAAAAAGATTAAGCCTCCTTGTGGAGATCATGTGATGACTTCCTGATCCCAGCCAGAGGCGGCATTTCCATGGAAACTTCTCTTCTCTTCTTCTGCTCCTTCTACTTAAAAAGGCTGCTTTGAGTCTCAAGAGAGTTGTAGGGTGGAGACTTGATGTTTCTTCTAAATAATGAGAAAAATTCCAGCAGAATGGGTAGAGAGCAGAAAGGCTGACATTCCAGCATCACATGTAGTGATGACCTTCCCTGGATCCCTACAGCTAAGACTGCAGACACTGCTGCTTCCCTCAGAGCTTTCACTTTCTCTCACTTGTTCCTCAAGTTCAGGGGACCACCAGCTTTAAGTATGGAGCAGGATAAGGAAGGAAGTCTCACAGGGGCAACTTTGACTTGACTACCCTCATCCTGTAACTCTTCAACTCACCTCAGTACAAACCATTTGATTTTTAAGCCCCTCCATGGATTGGGCCCAGGTTTAATTCCCTATAGCATGGGGGCATATCTGAAGCCAATTCTCCAACTCAGCAGATGAAGCACAGCTCTCACCTCTCTACAGTTTCTCCTGCCTGAAATATTGTCTCCATTCTCATTTGTCTTTCCAACTTATGTCTATCCTTCAAAGTTTGGCTCAAGGGGTACTCTCATAATAACATTTGCATACCATTATCCAAAACTGTGCGATCCTTTCCAGTATCCTCAGTTCACAAATATGTCCCTCCATTAAAAGTCTGATGTTCTTCTTTTCTATACCACTAATTTGAAAACTAGTGTAGTGGTAAAATAATATTTTTATCCATGCATTTCAATTTATCGAGCTCACTATACACACAGAGAAAAAATTCTTGAAAAAATTTGCATGATCAATGAATATTTGTTGAATAAATATATCAGTCCTTATTCACTCACTCACTACATTGAGAACTCCTTTGCAAGACCATGTTGCAAACAAAATTTCAAATGAATTCCTGATTTCCAGAACTTATGGGCTAAACAACATCATTATATCATTAAAATAAGAAAAATACAAACTACTATATATAAAATAAATAAACCAGAAAGATATATTGTACAGCACAGGTAATATAGCCAATATTTTATAATAACTTTATGTGGAGTATAATCTATAAAAATATTGAATCAATATGTTGTACACCTGAAACTAATATAATATTGACAATCAACTATACTTCAATTAAAAAAAAAAAGTTTCCTTTGGAATATTCACTAGTAAAAGTTTCCAAAATAAAGCAGACCACCCAGCTATCAAAGTGACCTCTCATTAATAATAGTCAGAAAATGAGCGATTAGACAGCAAGCAAGCAGCTAGCATCAAGATAATCAGGAAGTGTATCAGAAAAAAAATTTTTCTTCTGATACTTTGTATAAAATAAATAACCTTCAGGGCTTCCCTGGTGGCGCAGTGGTTAAGAGTCCGCCTGCCGATGCAGGGAACACGGGATCGTGCCCCGGTCCAGGAAGATCCCACATGCCGCAGAGCGGCTGGGCCCGTGAGCCATGGCCGCTGAGCCTGCGTGTCCGGAGCCTGTGCTCAGCAATGGGAGAGGCCACAACAATGAGAAGCCAGTGTATCACAAAAAAACAATAATAATAATAAAATAAATAAATAACCTTCAGATATAAGAAATAATCTCTAGGCTCTGAAAAGTGTCTCTTTCTGCAAAGACGAATTCTACCAATGCTGTGGCCTATTTATGGTCTTTGAGAAACAAACCATCTTGCACCCAAAATCTCTAACACTGCCTGACTTTTCTTAATAAAAGAAGCTCCATTCCTGACATGGCTTCTCATTTGCAAATTTAAATCATCACTAATTTTATAGTCAATTAACTGGGTTTATTTAGATCAGGTGGTATTATTATTATTATTATTATTATAACCATAAGAATTAAACTATTAATGGTGAATAGTGTTTCTCACTTTAACTTAGGCCTATCCCACTGGTGGGATACATGCCAACACCAAGGAAAAGTTAGTCATGTGGTTTTCAGAAGATGAAAGCTTACGATAAAGACTGAGAGTGTTTGATGCTGGGGGTGGGAGTGGTATTATATAGGTCTTAGCCAAAACATGTGATCATCACTGAAGGGTTAGCTGGAAAGAGAAGTGTGTGGCTCAGTTAACCAGCTCAGGCAGACCTTGTGAGAACTAGAGGAAGAATGCTCCTGGCTGCTTTGTACTGCCTGCTGTGGACTTTCCAGACCTCTGCTGGCCATTTCCCTCGAGCCTGTGCCTCCTCTAAGAACCTGATGGAGAAGGAATGCTGCCCACCATGGGAGGGTGACGGGAGTCCCTGTGGACTGCTTTCAGGCCGGGGTTCCTGCCAGGACATCATTCTGTCCAAGGCACCACTTGGACCTCAGTTCCCCTTCGCAGGGGTGGACGACCGGGAGTCTTGGCCCTCCGTCTTTTATAATCGGACCTGCCAGTGCTTTGGCAACTTCATGGGATTCAATTGTGGAAATTGTAAGTTTGGCTTTTGGGGACCCACCTGCACAGAGAGACGACTTTTGGTGAGAAGAAACATCTTTGATTTGAGTGTCCCAGAGAAGAACAAATTTCTTGCCTACCTCACTTTAGCGAAACATACTACCAGCGCAGACTATGTCATCCCCACAGGCACCTATGGCCAAATGAATAATGGATCAACACCTCTGTTTAATGACATCAACGTTTATGACCTCTTTGTCTGGATGCATTATTATGTGTCAAGGGATGCACTACTTGGGGGCTCTGAAATCTGGAGAGACATTGATTTTGCTCATGAAGCACCAGGTTTCCTGCCTTGGCATAGACTCTTCTTGCTGCTGTGGGAAAAAGAAATCCAGAAGCTGACAGGGGATGAGAACTTCACTATTCCATACTGGGATTGGCGAGATGCAGAAAATTGTGACATTTGCACAGATGAGTACATGGGAGGGCGCAACCCTGCAAACCCTAATCTACTCAGCCCAGCATCTCTCTTCTCCTCTTGGCAGGTAAGATGTGCTGGACATACAATATCAGAGCATAAAAGAACCGTAGCAATCACTTCTTCTGGAAGCTCTTCATAAACACCTTTCCCATCTCTTTGATCTCCTGCCAAGCCTAGAAAATTTTCCCTATCAAGAGCTCTCAACATACCTTGTATTTTCCCTTTATAGCACACTTCACAATTGTAGTTCCAAAGAGGTGTTTGTGGTTATTTGTCTAATATCCTCTACTTGGTTCCTAAAATCTAATGAATAAAAAGTACTTGGTTCATCACTGTATCTCCTGGCACCTGGGATGGTGCCTGGCAAATGGTAAGAGCTCACGATGTATCTGTTGAACCAATGGATGAATGAATACTTAGATGATTAGGTAAATAAATGATTTAGGTCAATGTTTCTGAAATTTTCTTCACAATAAAATGTATACATTGCACAAATTAAAAATACAAATTCCCATCTTTATCCCAGGAATCCCATTGATAAGAATCTTCAAAGGAGGTTCCTGGGAAGATCTCACTTACTAAATGTCTATGGTGATTATCACCATCAGCAAAATTTGGGAAATATTACTTAGATTAAATTTTCTTTTTAAAAAATATATGAAGACCCTGAGGCTCAAACAGGTAAATAATGAAAATAGCTAATATTCATCGATCAATTAGCATGTATGAGCCCCTGTTGTGTTTATGTGCCTTAATTCATTGAATATCCTTACTAATCGTTCCCCATCTCAAAGCTTTAAAAAAAAACCAACCTGAGGTATAAAGATATTAGGTAACTTGTACAAGATCGCAGAACTAGTAAGTAGCAGAGACAAGATTTGTTCTCAGATAGCCTGGCTGCATGACAACCCTATAATATTGGGCTGGTCAAAAAGTTCATTCGGGTTTTTCTGTAACATCTAATGAACCTGAACAAACTTTTTGGCCAACCCAATATTTCCAAGGACATGTCTGCTATGATGTTGAAAAGATCTGGCCATCCTACCTCATTTTTTTGAATAAGATGCAGAAGAAATTATAATTTTTTCCAAAATATGTGCAAACTTTTGAGGCACAAGATAAGGGATTGTTATTTTGAAGTTTAATTTCTGTTTCTCCTATTCTGATTTTTTTCACTCTGGATTAGGAGCAAAAGGTAGCCAAAGAAATATGCTTTTAATTATTTATCATTTTAAAACCATAGGTGGAAGGAATGTTTTTCTGCCTGTATTCCGAACATTTCTAATACAGCACTTTTTTTTTTTTTTTTTTTTTTTTTTTTTTTTTTTTTTTTTCTTGCGTTATGCGGGCCTCTCACTGTCGTGGCCTCTCCCATTTGCGGAGCACAGGCCCCGGACGCGCAGGCTCAGTGGCCATGGCTCACGGGCCCAGCCGCTCCGCGGCATGTGGGATCTTCCCGAAACGGGGCACGAACCCGCGTCTCCTGCATCGGCAGGCGGACTCTCAAGCACTGCGCCACCAGGGAAGCCCTAATACAGCACTTTTGACTAGCAGTGCTTTATGGAACTAAACCCCAATATTTAAATGAGATGGGAAGAATCTTGCATTCTTACCCGGCGCTCTGCAATTTTGATATGTGGATGGCTTCCCACCCGCCCCTCCGCACTAAGTTCACACACCTTCCAAATGGAGTCTATTGACGCTCATTGAAAATGACCACTGTAATGTCTTTTGTCACTAATGTCAGCTATTTACCAAGAGAAAGGAGTGTATTTGTGCAGGAGAGGCTGGAAAAATTGTGCTTCAAAAAAAAAAATCTATTTCAATAAGCCTTCAGACCTCCTACCTTAATCTATAAAGTGCAAAACTCTCATCTAACTCTCACATCCTCCGTTACTGCTTAAAATACGGTTAAGCTTGGATGCGGGATTTTCAGTCAGTTATAGTGCTTTCCTTAACTGCTTCTCTTGACCCAGAAAAACTGGAGGATTATCTAAATTACCAAAAAGTTACAACATCCACACTAAAGCTTAATAGGCAAATACTAATTGATATTAATTACATTAGATGTAGGCTTCATGGAAGTACCTAAATTATGTTTCTAATTTTTTCTATTCATTTATTGATTATTGAGTGGAAATTTTTTCTGTTTTTTTCTCCTTTACAGTTGTGTCCAGTTTTACTTCTAAACAAAACTTTTTGGCTCTAGTAGGTAAACACTAAGTTGAAATTGTTACAACATTAGATTCGATATTGTTCTATGATTACTGTGTAGTAACTGGTGTTAAAAATAAGATTAGGAAATACAGAGGACAAAGACCATTGAAGAAAAATGAGCAAACGACGATTTAAATAAGGAAGGTGAAATGAGTGAACATTGACGTTCACCTACCGTGAGTGGTGTCATTGTGTGAGGTGACAGTCAAACCCAATTCTAGTTGGCTGTTTCCATTCCTTTGCAGAGCATCTCTGGTTATAGTCCTTTAAAAATGAAGATCAGTTATTTATATTGACTTAATTCAGCCGTTCTCAGTATCTTCTAAATCACTTCGGAGCTTAAAAAATTGCATGTGCTCCACCCATCTACCTTCTGCCAGAAAATCATAGTCAGGGGGTCCACTGTGAAGTCCAAGCATCTGTATTTTTAAAAACTTCTACTGTAATTCTAATGCACAGCCAGCACTAAGAATCACTGATTTAATTAACATGGACATTGTTTTGGTATCTCTTTCACTTTACAAACTCAGGTTCTATAATAAACACACCACTAGTTTAAATGCTTTTGCCTGAATTGAACACTCAAATCAAGAACTAGACTGTTTTATGTGAGATCATGAGACCAAATATCTTCCAGACTTGGTGAGTTCATTAATATCTTCTTAATTAGTTAGGCTCAGCCCCTTTGGTACAAAGCCTCCTGCTTTTACTTGGTTTCAGATATCTTTTACTTGACACACACAAAAATAGAGTTTTTAGATTTATTAACTCATAGGATTTATTAACTCTGAGCTAAGAGACCTTCAGTGGTGTGTAGTGTACTGCCTACATTTTGTAAAAGAAGACAGTGAAACCCCGAAAGCTAGGATGATTTGTCTAAGGTCACACAGCCGAGGACTAAAACCCAGTGCCTTTGACTTCAATGCTATTTCAAGTTAACCACGTTGTTTCCTATTTTTAAGGAGCCATTTAGGCTTGCAAGGGATAAAACAAGCCACTAATTTATGGATGTAAATTCTGACTTGTAGTCACTTTAACTCCCTTAAAATTCAGTTGCACAGACAACTGGGGCAGATATTCTGATGTACTCCTTTTCATTCATGTTAGAGTGAAATTATTCCATTAGACGTTTATTTATCCACATCCCTTACTCAGGTAGAATTGACCTTCACCCTTTTGCACTATCATTATACTTTGTACAGATTTGTATCATAGTACCTGTAATTCCTCAATACATGTAATTGTTTTCAAACCTATCTTTGTCTAACAGACTGCCATCTGCTCCAATGTAGAAACCATTTCTAATTTATCTTTATGTCCACAGAGTCAGGAACATAATATATACATGGAATGGGCTTTGTCAATATATGTTGAATTGAACAAAACTGAAAATCATAGAAATGTTAGCTCCAGTGCTAACACACATAAAAAATTAAACTCTGCATAGACATAGCTAGATTTCTAGAACATTAAGCCATAATTTATAGCACTGGATCCCCAAGGCCAAGGACACAATTATACCAAAATAAGCAGTAACTTATTGTCTGGAATAAAACATTTTGTGTAGCTCTCTCTAGGCTTATGTGTGTGTGTGTGTGTGTGTGTGTGTGTGTGTGTGTGTGTGTGTGCATGCAAAAACTGAAAGCACACATAGAGAAGATCAGGCAAGTTACAACCCGAGTGTTACTTAAGTGAGATTAATAATATTTACTGATAAGATTTTTTATTCAATAAAATATTAAAAATTATGTACTTAATGTTAGTTTTCATAGAAAGCCTATATTCAGAATTCACATGCTTTTTTGTATATTTGTTCCTTTATTTTTTGGTTTGTTTAATGCCAAGAGCTTTTAAACTAGAAGCATGTTTGTCATCAATTAAAGCAGTCCATTATTTTTGGACGTGGGGGGTGAACATTAAAGTACAAATACCTACGCTCAACACAGTTAGATCCAATGTTATGCAAGCAGCAGATAAGCTAGCCGTAAGAAGGAAAGGGTAGCTGTCATGATGGATCAAAATAAAGAGAAAAAATTTTCCAAGATGATGGGCATGAGTGAAGTGTGACCAGGGAATTCACTCATCAGGTGAAAAGCATATCACATGGAAGCAAACAGTAGGAAGAAAAAAAAGTTACATTTCAGCAGAGAGTCATGGGTTTAGGTAACCATGGCAACAGCTCAGTGAATTAACAGCTTCTCTTTTTTCTTTATGAAAAAGATTCTGTGGAATGTCATAGGGTTTACATTTTTATTTAGATAAACCTCTAATGTCATGATAGAATTTTTGCTCCTAAATCTTTTAATAACTGGTTGTTTGTTGCTATTTCTTTATGTTTAAGAGAACACTAAGCTCACTTTCTCCATTAATACATCTGTTTCTTTTTTCTATATCTCCCTTTTTTCATTTGACTTGGGACAGCTTGATCTGTTTCCCCCAAATCATATGTTATAAGTCACCTGTGTTGGAACAGAAAAAGAACAAATTCCTCATCAGAAGACTTCTGCCACATACCAGATTCTACCTCTGCTAGTTACCAGATGTTATTGGACAAGTTATTTGGAATCTTTGACCTTTGCTTTTTTTCTCAACAGAAAAAAAATGGGGTGCAATTATCATATATGTGTGTTTTCTGTGTTGATGAAAATACTAAATTGAATGGAAAGTAGAATAATGCAGCGGAAAGGGTATAGTCTTTTGAGTCATAAGAACATGACTTTTGTAACTTACTTAGCTACAAAATCCTGGACAAGTTACTTAATTATTCTGAGACCTTTTTTTCTTTAAAATTAGAATAACAGGGCTTCCCTGGTGGCGCAGTGGTTGAGCGTCCGCCTGCCGATGCAGGGGACGCGGGCTCGTGCCCCGGTCCGGGAAGATCCCACATGCCGTGGAGTGGCTGGGCCCGTGAGCCATGGCCGC